CAGATTTTTATTTTGACAAATGTTATCGGCAAATACATAAAGTTGGATAGTAAACTGTATACCTGCTTTATTCGATACAGTTTGGAGAAATATCCTCTTATACAAATTACTAAATAATAGCATCAATGGGAAAATATATAAAGTTATTAAGTGCATATATAATAAAACACAGTCATGTATACGCTACAACATCGAAATTTCACAAATATTTAAGACCACAGAATGAGACTGACAAATATGTGTCACTAGTTCTATTCTATTTAATCTACATATTAAAGTTCTGCCCATGCCCTTTATAAACTTAAACAATAGATACCAAGTGAAAGTAACAGTAAAACATATATACATCTCTTTAAGGCCCGTATAAAGCCAACCCGTCTATACCATTCAGATATTTGGGGGTACTGAAATTCTCACTAATGTTAAATGGGATAAAACCCCAACTAAAAACAATCACTCAAAATTTTACAAGCAACTACTGGATCCAAACAAACTTACTGAAAATTTAGCATGTAAAGCTGAGGTTGGAGAACTATACAGCCAGGTAAAACAAGCATTTTATGAACAAAAACGCTCAAATTTATTGTAGATGTTTCATATGCAAAATATATTGAAAGAAGAGAATGTACAAGAAAAGGATATATTTATCTTCAACAAATTCTAAAGCTATTCATGAAACTACAACAGAAAAAATATAAAGAAAGAAAATTCAAAGTTGAGAACGTATGTAGAGTGCAAAAATAACTATAATTGTGATCCTTACCTTGCTATATTAAAACCAAACAAAGAATCATGTCAAACATTTTGAACAAGTAACAACAATTTTGCAATTGAGAAAGATAGACATACCCAGCCAAAGATAATATATAATTTAATTTGTAAACAATGCTCGCTAAATCCGATTTAAGATGAATTACACATTTTACTACTTTGCCTTAAATATCATTTAGACTGACAAAATATCCTGACGAATATTGAATTCCCTGCTAAAATCACCAATATATTCCAGAAACTTGTATATCTACTTGAAAACAGAAATGTGGAAATAATAAAAAGCATTGGAATTTTTTTAAACAGGTGCTTCACAACACGAAATGAAAGCGCATAAGTTTTCTTTTGATGTTACATGTACTACTTTTTAGTTTTTGTTATCTACTAAAGTATATTATTTAGTGTTCTTTTTTTCTAAAGATGCAATAAAATAATGCTATTACAAATTACTATTACTATTATTACTTTTACTACCTCTGTCACAGTTTGTATCGCACTCGGACCAGCCAGGTCCGCATTCATTGATTCTAAATGCGCCATAAATACAACTTCGGAACAAAATATGGTGTCTTGTTTTACGTGCCCTTCTTACAAAAAGTCTGTACAAGAAATCTGCATGTAACACATTTTGAATGCGAGAACGACAATAATCTCTACAGTGACGCTAGCCCGGCGTTTTCGAACAAAATCGCACAATCGCATTTTTTTCAAAATCGTTCAATGAGAGTGTTATCATTGTACGGGTAAGGGCAACTTTGTCTCTGACCAATCAACGCAAAGCCATTTTGTAAAACGTTTGGGCTGATTAGCTGTATGCGTCACAAAAGTCCATGATTATTTCAAATTCTCCTTTACCGCCCTTGCTAGGTTCGCCTCTAATCAACGTCTACGCGAAATGTGCCAAAAATATGTGTTGTTCGTGCAAAGACTATATATACCACCTTGTTGCACGACTCTCAAGTTTCATTCTTGCTCACGTACAGAATCTTCAACTACAAAACACGCACTATTCTGTCCCCGGCTGTACCTGCTGCCCACGCTCGCGAATGTAACTCTATTTTGTTCATAGGAATGAAATCGCAGCAACTTCGAATCACGTTGATTATCGGTGAATGGGCGTTGAGTCTCTTGTTTCCAACATATAAATGGAAATCGCACATCGTCTATATTATAACAAATTGGAAAATCATTTGAAATTAAACCCGGGGCTTTAATTGGTAAACATACGTTCAATTTTCACGCACCACTTTTTCTTCTTCAAAAAACACAACAAAAAAACAGTATCAATAACAGATCGAATTCACCCAAAATAAAACAAACTTGTTCAAACTTGTTCTTTTAATAACTGTATGATTACTCAGTACAGTAGATAAGAGTTAGACGTGTTAGTTTAACGGTTACAGAACAATAAAAGTAATATCAGAAAGTGCAGATTGCATAACATAACAGGAAGTAGTACAGATTTGCATCGTCAGTTCGTTTTTTTTCTTGAAAACAATGTTCCTAGATGTGCTTGCGTTGATTCTCATGTTGGAAATGGTATACCGAAATAAATAGTTATATGAATATATAATAGTAAATTTTCCAAATATTGAATGCAATGGCGTTTCGGGCGCTTAGCATGAGGGTCTGGACCGGGTGATAAAAGGGGGTCAGTTTTAATCCGTACTTATCGTTTCTTAGCACGCACTAATCAATCAGCCCGTACCAAGGAGTGCCATGGGTAAATGTATAATCCGCGTCTCCCATCCAACTCCTAAATGTACAAAAACACAAACAAATTAATATATATGAAGTATAATACTTCTTTTATTTTTCTGTCAATGTATTACTATAATAATTATAGTTTTTTATTTGTCACTAATATGTTTTGCCCTTTATCTATTCGACATCACGTTGAGGAACGGTGTCGACATGTTTGAAAAATCAAAGAAGACAAATCAGTAAATAGTCAGCCCTTTCCTTCATTTTGAATATAATATTGAATAAAAAGAAAAGAAACGTCAACATGTTGTGTTGGTTTAAAAATTAAGCAGTTATAATGGTTAACATAGTTGCCTTCTGACAAGCTTCAGTAATGTCTATCTTTAAGTTTTAGCCCGTACAACTATTATGTTCGGAGTAACCCGGGAAGCACTTGTCTATACTGTTGTTACGCAGTGATAGTCAACATGTTAAATTTGAAATGAGCACGAACTGCGTTTATTTCATGTAACATTGAATCAGACTTTAGTAACCAAAGAATTGCACATGGCGGTACGTTTGCAGGATGTACGGCTAAATATAATATAACCTGAACACCACACGCACAATAGCTTGTTTTCATTCATTCAATCGTTACGTTTTGTTTTCTTTTTTGATACAACAAAAGTTATTTAGTTCTGTATGATATGGAATATATTATACTAACAAATCGTATATCATCGTCATCTGCAACCGACGTCCGTGACGACACCACCCTGTACGTTTGAGTCACTGCCAACGTGTCACGGGACCCACTGTGTCAAGTACGACGTACAACACACCGTACTTCTTATCTCAATCAGATTAATGATAGCCTTGCGAACCAAGGTGAATGACTAGGCTATAAACAATTATGTGAGCGACGGTCCGCCCAAACATGCACATTGTTGCGTAGGTCAGTAGCAAACATATATATATATATCAAGTGGGTGCTATGTCGGCCATGCTTAACACCACTACGCTTCCCGACGAGACGCTGCCGGCGATCAGTGATCATGTTGTTATTGGTGGTGATAGCTTTCAACCGTGTCACATATCATGTTCATCTGTAAAGAATGAGTTTTCTTTCCTTCTGAACATCCGGTTCACCTTTCCCCCGTAATGGGCGTATTTCGTGTTCATGGCGATTATCTTAAAACACCACACGGAGGCTGGTGGCTGAGTTCCATTTCTACATAATTAGTAGGATATTGAAAATAAATCACATCGACTCGTACCACGCAAAAGATGGTGTTTATCTAATACTCGATTTGTGCTTTAACTACCGCACAGACTAAGCACTGTTACAATGCGTGTCGAAGTGTTATAGGGCAGACGTCATTGCGCAGTGTAAACAATGTATTTTACACACGCTGTGTACGTCGCCGTAGTTCCCACATCGACCACCATCGTTTTACAAAATCACGCATTAGACTCGATAAATGTAATCATGACAGTTACCCCAGACTGTTACGTTAGTAATTTCACAAAATAAAACCGGGATTTGATATTACACAGGATACATGCAATGTTCTTCTTCTTAATGGTGGGGAAGGGCATTAGAAAATCTAGGGTTCACGTTGGCAGAATTGAAAAAAAAAAATCTAATAGGATTACGTATTAAAACATTATATCAATAAACATTAAAAATTTCCTAATACTAATAGTTCGTGTCAACCATGCGTACTCATGCTATAACTACGTATGTTTGTTTTCACTATAGGTAAACACAACACAATTCCTAGATATAAATCAAAATTACCATTATTCATGAATGCCCATTTCTGTGTGCGAAGTTGTTTAGCAATCAAACATTTTTAATCTGGGTTAAACAACAGAATAATATAAATCAAATTTGAAAGACGCTGGTCGTCACGCAACGCGTGTTCGAAGATCACGTAAACAAACTATGTATTGTGTACGTCGCTATGGGTACCATATCAAACAGGTCGAGTGGCACGATAAACAACGCTCTATAAGGTAAAGGAAATCTCATGAGCTATTTTTTTTTGGCAACTTACTTCCTTAATACGCTGACTTTTAATATATACCATACTTAGTTGCCGCGAACGACGTGCAAAGATTCAAAAATACGTGTGTATATTACGTCGGTGTGGGCTTTTTTTTTAGTTTTCTACAAGACGACGATAACTATGACACTTAGTATATATTAGTGTCACGGGCACACAAATAGATTCCAGTGACCTCGCTATGACAAATGTTTCTATGAAATTGTAGATTAGAATACTAATTCAGGACATGTAGTAAGCTCTGGAACTTGATGGAGGAATTCACTTACAATGTAACTAGTTTCTTTCTGTATTTCAAGACTGAAAAATAATAATGTGCCCTATTCGCCATTACCCCAGCACTGTAACCATGTACTTTATTTTAGTCAATATTTCACTCGTTACTAGGGTGACTTTCAAACAAACATTGGAGCGAGCGTCTGCGGTGTAGCGTTACGACATTTCAAAGCAGAAGTGTCCAATCACAGGTCGTTTAAACTCAACGTCACGTGACAAGTAACACGTCATCCATCGGAGGATATAAAAGCAGACAGGGCGACTCCAAAATCAGCACTACAGAGGTTACGCCGAAGGAAGAAACTGCAATCAAACTAACATTTACAACAAACCCACAATGAGGTAGGTTTTTTTTTAAATCTTATCTCATGTATCATAAGTTTGCTGGCAAATTCAGAGCGATTTCGTTTGTCCTACGTTGGGAATCCCCGATCTAATTCTGTATTTTTCGTTGGTGATTCTGAAGGTGCTCATCGCGTAAAGTGCTCCAAAAAATCGGCTTCTGTTTTGTGTGAATCTAGCGGGTTTCGTTCACTCACCTGGGTTTGTGGCGTATAATGTCGCGACTGTTACTTGAGGTCAATTGTCTCGTCTACATGCAGATCGCATCATCGTCTGTACACACAGTATGCCTCTCATTGTCGGCGATGTAAAAACATTCACCACATCTGTGAGCGTATCGTGTGTGGTTGTTATTAACGTAGCTACTATTATTTCTGTTAATAATTAAACCACAGGTACATAATCTGCGTGTCATAACCAGCAGTTCGTTACCGCCTACCGCGTCTATGCCGTGATGAGAAATCAGCACTAGAAACCCAATTTCAGAAATAGGGTTTCCTTTAAATATAAGCACACACTTAGCCGGTGAGATGATTATGATGATGACAGAATTTGTATTTGTATCCGTCTTTTTTCTCCACAGATTCGCCGTAATTGTATGTGTTGCACTCGTGCTGTTGGTTACCTACGTTAAATGTAACAACCCAGACGGTAAGTGAGTGCACTGTGTTTTAAATACTGCTGAACCTAGAGTTTTACTAGTTTAGCCATGCCGTAAGTCACGTTTTGACTGTCTCGAGTATGATGAATGTATAAATTATGACGTTTACGATTTTAACTGTGACTGTTTCCGCGCCATGCGCCATTATTGAGGGGGTAGTCTTCTTAAGTCAGTTTAGTTTATTTAAATTCAAAATACAGGAATACTTGACACGACTACGTCGGAGGAAAATAAACAGAATATATTCATTTTGCGATAAATTTCCATGATACTCCCACGAAAATGCAACTTGGGTTTTAAAAATGAAGATAAAAATAAGTTTTTTTTTTAGCAATTTATTGCACATACAAGTCGGCGGGCGCGAGAAATTACGCTGAAATAAAATTTTATTTTTATTTCATTTTCGGCGCCTGTTCATTCGGCGGGTTCGCGAAACAAGGGATAATAAAAGTCTGGCCTTACATAAATGTCAACTTGTATGTTCACATGAAATACTAGTTGCTCACTGTAAATTAGACTATTTTTCAACGTTTAGTTTGATTTACGTGATGCTCGTTTTTTTCTCACCCCAGAATTTCTGAATGAACGGGATTTGCGGGACGTGAACGGCGAGGAGATGGAAGGTACAACAGAAGCCGGTAAGTTGATGAATCTATATAATATTACGAGTCCATATGCGTTCCACTGTGAGCTGTCAACTTTTACAACGGTTACAATCGTATCTGTGCCGTGTTAATCCAACTCTGCCGTTTATTTATTCATTTAATTGGTTGTTTTTGTTTTTGTTTTCTCATCAACAGGTAGTTCAGTCTCCGGCTTAAGGGTGGATTATGTAACCTTCCTCTGTGTCTGTGCGACTGCTTTGCTGTTCCGATAAAATTCAGCATTAAATGTAAGAATATAGAGCAAAATTAACAAAACTCTTCATTTTTTAAGCGTTAAAGCGTAATAGTCACCTTGAAGCGCGCGCGTCAGATTATTTTACGCGCCTTTTAGAACATACAAACCGCCGTGGCGCGACACGTCAGTGGCGCGTGAACAAAAACATATTGAATGAGGCGTCAGGTATTTGTTTACTATTTCTGTTCATGTTAGCCCAAGAATTGTTTGAAATATCAACGAATGTCTAGTCGGCACTCATGTACACTGTTCTTGTTATCAGCAATAACGCAGGTAACTTGTATGTAAACGACACACAGAAAAATAAAAAGTGTTTTCTGTTTTTTTTAGTACAGTTCAGTACTAATAACAACAGTTGTTACGCAATATTCACATGTACTGCAACGCAATGCCATAGCATCGTAACTCGATTTACATTATTGAACCATATAATAAAAAAAAACAGGGTTTTGCATTTCCCATATTCTAAAAACTTGTCTTTTTTCTTATTTTTAGGGACAGTACAGTCCGTTTATTGAGTACAACGATCCTGACGGACGGCGCCTAACCGACACCGATCAACGAACATCATGCGGCTACTGTCATGATTGGATGCAATTCCTGTTTTTGTGAATGTTGGGAGTTTTCATGTAATTCTACTTTGACGAATTTCAGGAAAACAGTCCACTTCAAAAAGTCTAGCGCCCAAACCTTATAATTGTCTAATCTATGTATCAATCCTATTAGCTGACATATTTTCTGTTGATATCGTGTGACTTTTAATGAGAGGCGATCTGCCACGATGAATAGTTTTGTGATTGGTTGCATTCAGATTTCATGACAGTAGCCCGGATGTAGTAATGCTCGTGTCTATTCTGAGTTGTTATGACGGGACTGACGAATATGGACAATGAGGGCGCTGTTTCTTGCCTTAGTCGAAGTTCGGCTGCTGTCGCAAAAGCCATGACAGGACATTCTGCATTTCGGATATTCAGGTTATTTAAATAGGTACACAGTGTAACGATACTAAGCATAACGTGACCACACGTACTAAAATGACTAAGTTAAATTATCTTTACACACCAATGTCGTCCCATAGTATCTCTATGGTGACAGATACCAGTATTGCTATGTGGAAGATACCGTGACACAAGTATGCATGAATGACGTCATGATTTGATGAAAACGGATGCCAGGCACATGAAGGCACATAATCAAAGACACTAAAAACTAGTGTCTTTGACATAATGGATGATGTTCTAATACATATGCATTGCAATTCGTAATGTCTATTTATAGTTCAAACGATTCCGTGTCTGAGATCATGGCATCTGTCGAAAATATTGTAAAAGCATAGGAATTTCATTGTAATGTTTCGCAGTAAAACTGGCGAACTTTTGGAACAACCGGAAGTAAATTAACATTGAAATCCCGCTTCTGTCGATACAGGGTAAACGTGACATCTTTCTGCCGCTTTCATGTCGGGCTTTCCATATATACCCTACCTCCTGCATTTTCATATTTATGTATTTATGAACTTGACAAATAAAGTATAACTTTAGAGTAAATGAAAGTCTGATTTTTTTTTTGTTCGGTGAGGGTTAACTCAATCAGGACTTCCTACGTCATTTCCTTCGATTTGACTCATTACAGTGACTGAAATTGCCCACTATCTTGTATGGGTTGTGCTATTGGTTGGTAAAAATAAGGTCACCAGGGCATGACCATATTTGGATAGTATTTTTTCCGAATTGCTAAATAGTTTGATGTTTTGCTAGAGTAATACTGTTTTTTTTTTTGTCAATCGTAAGCAAAAAAATAACCATACTGATTGTTAGAAACCAAAGAAATACGCCAGGTAATGAGAACGAGTACTTATGTTGGTGACTATATTCCTCCAAAAGATTGGCAACATTTTTAACACCTCTATAAGTTGTCTTTCACCAGAGGTAAAATTGATATTCGGATCACACACTGCAAACGTATTTCGCCAGGCTTCTTCAGAATTTAATAAGATTCAAAATGGTAAGCCAGTAAAACGGTTTAGAGAAATCTTTGTCCAATGGGACAGATCCTTGAGAGTTATGATGCGCGCCCCAGTGCTAAAAGCTTGTACATAGATACTATCAACACCAACAAAATGCCGTTTTTGTCATGAGCCGAACACAGGCGCCATTGAATTTAATTTTACCACTATGTCACGATATTAAATTTACCATGATTAATAGTATTGTTCCAAGTCACTTCCAAAATATCTCAACATTCATTCAACCTGGAATGTAAATAAACAATTTTCATTTTTAACACGGACGTAGTCACGGATTTACTTGATCAGACTATATAGATAAAAGAAAGAGGGCGCACATCCTAAATTATACCACGCCAAATTCATTCTTCTCCAAATTGGCCATTACTGCTCGGGAAAACACACACAAAAAAAAACAAGAAAGCATAATCAACATTGGCAAAATATAGCAAAGAAGAACATCTATATAAGATAAATACAAGATAGATTTGAGGTCACCGACAAACGAAAACGTTGCTAGTGGGTTGTTACCCGAACACCGATCTGAGCACACCAGTGCATACCAGGATGGATGGAAGAGTAAACACAGTACAGTAAACAGTGTTTAACATAATTATGGACATGCCGTGCATATTAAACAGTTACTGTGCGTCAATCATGATGACTTTTTCTGAAAATTGCATAATAATAACAAAATCAGATAATAGTTTGGTTCAAGTTGTTTGTCGAGTTTTTGATTTGAGTATTCAATATCGTTTAATGAATAAACTATATGAAAGTTAAAATTATAAATATATAACAAGTATGGCACATTTTAGCTGATAAAAAAATAACATTATACTGGAAGTACAACCATATACTCCACAAGTCTATGCTACAACGCAGTCTCAACACGACACGAACGAAGATGTGTGAAGAGCGCCACCATCGGTGAAATATTGGCTTCTTTCGTATACATTATTCGCGTTGCGTTCCGCTTTGATTCAATTTCAAGTTCATTTTTCTATCCCATAATCCTTTGCAAAGTCTATTATTATAGAGTTAAGGTAGAGATGCAGGTTCGTGGGCACTCAGAGTGAATTTTTTTTTTTTTTTTTTTGCTTTTTCTTACACAGACAGTCTTGGCTAGATATTGTTAAAAATTCGGAGCATTGCCAATGTTGGAACATACTCAAAAATCAATTTTAAAATATAGGGAGCCGAGGCACGCGTATGTGATTAAAAGTCCCGAAAGTTTGTTTGCGTTGCTCTTTGATTGACAAGTCACTGTTGATGTTATATGCAAATGATTGCTGGCCTCAGTGTTGGGTAGCGGTGTGCGACTTCCTGTCCTGGCTCTCTGTTTACTTACCCCAAGCGCGATCAACTACAGTAGCAAACTACAAAAACAGGCAAGACGTAGACGCTTCCAGCATGCGAGGTGAATGAAACAAAACATACAGTTGTAAATAATAAGTAAACTTTTCACCCTTAAATAAATTGATTTTTCATTTATTTTCATGTAGGATGTAGCGTCGATAGGGCGATTTAATTTTAGCGCAAAACAAGGCCACAATTTCTTTTGTTTTCAT